AAAAAAAATTTCTATTGATATATATTTCATATATATTTAAATAACTTTTCGATATTTCTTCGAGACACTTGATCAATTTCGTGAGTCACCGTATATGATCACCGTACAATAATCCCCATATCCCGTAGTCTTCTCATTTTTCTAAATAATTTATCGCCTCAGGATTCTAATTACCCGCCTGATTAATTCTCATCGTGCGCTTGTCACGAAGAATACTCTAGTTTCTCAACGTCTAATTAATCCTGCCCGATTGTCGGACAGATTTTATTCGCGATTAATTGCCTTCCTCTTCATCTCCATCGTCGCAACGTTAAGCAAATCCTAACAAATCTCTCTACTCCGTAGGGGACCATCCGGAGACGGACGAGGAGAGCGAGCTGAACGCCCGCAATCGTCTACATCATCATCACCATCATCATCGTCATCATCACCGTACGTCCAACGCATCCAAACCAGCGAGCGAGGATGAATTCGCCGAGGATGAGCTGTCGGTGGGAGAGCCGTCCGAGGCGAGGATGCTCACCTCGAGCGGCGCTCCTGCCTGGGGCACGTGTCCCGCTGGTGGCAGGCAACCACGTGAGCGACGCGGCCGCAGCCCCAGGAGTCTCGACCGACGTAGACGGGACAAAAATCACGACGTGGGCGAGTTCCACGAGGGCATGCTGCTGGACGCGCTGCTTCAACTCTATCCTAGCGTCGCGGGTAAACAGATAATTAAGCCATAGTGATATTTTAGCAAAGAGACGTACGTGAGAGAAAACGATAGAGATAGCCATTTCAGGTAATGTTGTTCAAAGAAAGTAATATCGCTCGAAAGATTTCGTAATTGCGAGACGTTAAACTAACAACGATATTTGCTCTTCCTCATGCTGTAGTTTACTGTTATTGTCCGACGACATATAATCTCTCAGACACTCATCGACGTTGTTCCTTTTTTTTGTATTTTTTGGACTCCTCGAGCACCGTATTTCTATTTACTCTTTACTGTTTGCTATTATTAATATTTATTTACTGTATATCATTTTTATATGAATACTTTACAATTTATGTATAAATCTTGTACCTTTTATTTATTTCTTCATAAAACCAAGTCAAATTATTGATAAATTTGTACTGAAATTTTCTGGATTAATTCTTCCGGCTATTCTTAACTTTCGAATATCGATCTTGACTATCTCGACTTTCTATTTTGATTTTTCACTTCTATTACCTAATTTTGGAATAATTTTACGATTTTGTCATGTTCAAAAAACAATATATATAACTACTAAATGCATTTGAAAACTTTGACTGATTCGAATCTTCGCTTCCAGGCGTGGCCGGTGCCCGAACAGGCAACAGCATCGCTCAACGTCAACAATCCGTCCCGTCGGTGGCGCACAGGTTACCATATTTCGTGCCACCTTTGCCGGCCGCACAGGCCCCACGGCTCGAGGAGAATCCGTACGAGAGTGTGCCGGTGTTGGGCCCGTTGCATCGCTACTCTAGCCAGAACAGGAGTGGCAAGGACCGCTCATCCCGCAGCATCAAATCGTCCGGTAGCGACAAATACAAGTACCTGTCGTCGTCACAGCAACAACAGCAACAGTACGGCGGCGATTATTACGGCTTGCAGAGTCAATCCGATGTCACGACGCCACTCTATACTCAGGTGGGCGGCGAATACTCGGACACGTACTCGCAGCCGACCGATCGACTCTTTGGTGACGACAAGTACAGCCAACCGGTGTATTATACCACTAACTCGACCCGGGACCCGGCGTGCGATCAGGTGACCACCGCTGGCAGACTGTACCAGGGTCAACCTGACAGCAGCTTTGGCAGCGACAGTGGTTACAGCCATCACACTTCCGGCACCACCGGTACCAGCGGCACTCGCGGCAGTAACTCCCGGACGAATCATCGCAGGGACAAACATCGAAACTCCCATCACTCGCATCACTCCGCGGACTACATTATGTCCTAATGGAAGACCGATCGTGTTCTCTTCGAAATATACTCTCGTTAAGAAAAGAGAGAGAGACGATGAGAGACTGTAAGGGTCTCGTTTCTGTCACCGGCCACAATAGATTGACGAGCATGTTCGTTAATGGAGAGAGCGGCTGACGCCGATTCGGCTGTGCTAAACTGCTGTATTTTGATACTTCGACGTCCACGATTAAGAGTCAATAAGGATATCCTGGTTGCTACGGCTGATCGAGTCGCGATGATCGTGACATACAGACTTGATTCGATCGTCGAAGCGACGAGGAAATTCGCGAGCAAGTGACGAGATTAGGACGAGAGAAACACAGTGATCTCTTAGTGATTTATACATATAGCCGATACTATTGCAAGACTATCTAACAAATTTATTTGTAATCTAATGAGACTCAGGCTGGTACCAAAGGACGCTAACAATTACTTCTATCTTTTTAGTCTAATCGTTTGTAATTTATAGGTAGAGAGAAAGAATGCGTTAATCGGAACGAGTCAATCTCGTCCTCGTCGTCGCCCGCAAATTGTGCGACTACCAATCGCAAAGAATTCCGAAGAAGTACCGAAGTCACTGTAGATGATCAGTCCTATTGCTCTTTCAAGCGATCCGCAAACAATTTTGCAAATAAACAAACACGCGAAATGCTCAGAACAGTAGTCGCGTGCCAAGTGTTGAAACGTAACATTAATTTTCAAAATAAATGAATAAAATAGTATGTATAAGCTGAAATAGGATTAATAAATGATAATAAAATAGTACCGCGCAAAAATCAGCGAATCCGAAATATAAGATGCATCTCAAGGAGATGAAATTATAATTTAAATTTTATTTTAACTATATTTTAAAACTATACTTTAAATTAAAAATCTATGAGAAAAAAAAACAATTTTAACTTTATTTTCTTAACTTTTTGTGATGTAACATTTTTATAGAAAATCCACTTATTATTATATTTCCAGGCTAAATACAAGGTTGTTTAAATTGAATTGCACAGATTGCGGATCAAGCTGGTGTCGATTATGGATGCTTCGTGGTCAAATTAACCGATCCACTGCCAGTCCTATCCTAAACGACCGGGCCTGTTCACCCGGCCGACAAGTTTCGTACAAACTTTGATACGACGAAACCTATAATTAGATTTCCGAGACCCCCGAGCGGATCCGATCACATGCACGGCGACATTAGACGATACTATGCGATCATGCCGCGTTTCTAGTCCAATAATAATTACTTTTCGTACCAGCTTAGAGAGCTTTATCTATGCGACATCTATACACATATGCCAATAAAATTCTCGAAATATAATAATAAATGCACGCACGCGATAGAGTAACGCCGCCAAGTCCTTGGACCATACTGTAATCCTTGAGAAAAGAAAGAACGATATGTGCACGTTGGAATCTGATCAATTAGATTACGACACATGCATTACGCTCTTTATTATTTTCGCGCGAGAGAATAGAAGATGTTAAATTTAAAGAACACAAAATTTAGTTTCGATTATATACAATATTATATAATATGGAAATAGGCGATATTCTAAATTCAGAGTTCAGTACTTAACAATGCCTTGTACTTAAATAAAAAGTTTGATATTTCATGTACTGTATCAGAATAGAGAGAGAGAGATGATTTAATAATAATAACAAATATATTCTTTTCCCAACCTTTCAAATTTAGAACCAAAGTGTTATTAGTGATCTATCCGGCCAAGAAAACTAGTGATAATAAGTTGATTCAACCTTCATATTTTTAAATGGCAAATCCTCTTTTAAGGAAAATATCTAATGTATAATGTATAGCGTAATAGATCGATGCGTGAATATCTATAAGAAATAATTCCCAAACGGATCTCATTTAGAATCCAACGTGCATAAAAGATGTCAGAGACCATAGTTGCCACACGCATGACTAGCACATGACTAGTATACCATTACACTAAGCATATATTCGCGCTTATACAGCCAGAAATTTCAAGCGCCGCGCGCGAGCCTTTTATTTTTGTAATTTCTAAAAGCATTGCGGAAGCGTAGAACCATATAGACTGCTGAATAAAGAGACAGAGAGAGAATAGAAAACGCTGTGGGGAAATTTTCTCTCTGAAAAAGTAAAAGCGCCCTTTTGCACCCCGAAAAGGCTTCTCGATGAAGCTTGATTCGCGTATACATTTTATGTCGTCTGTTTTGACATCGAAAGACTGGTGACCATAAAAATCCTCTTTTCGCAGTTCAGCACAGCTCTTTTCTCGCAACGCAAATCGCTTTCTCGTGGAAGCAATCGCCGCGATCAACTTCGCTGACGAAGTCGGTATTGTTGTCGTTAATAACGTAACGGAAGCCGCGCGTCATGGATAATTCATGAACCGAAATCACGGCACGCTCGCAACCCTACTCTATTCCGAATCACCATTTTGGCAAACGCCGGCTTTATTGCTGACAAAGGCCCGCGTGCGAATGGCGCAAATTATTCGCGTGCATTATTAAGCATACTATTATCGCGATCGGTTGCATTATTATGTATACGAGCGTCGATATCAACGATCTTCGATCGGTAGTCGCACGGATTCGCGAGATGCTTTGATTGTTACAAGCCGGCGTTAACGTGTTCCTCAATACTGTTACTTTGTCCCGCTGTAGAAAAAATGTCATATAATTGGTTATATATAATTATTTTTGACATATAATTATTTTTGATATATAATTATTTTTGACAACATTGGACCATTAAATTACATCAATCTTTACATATAACTTTGTATAACATAGTTTTAGATTTTAGATTTGTTACACATCAGAACGTAGTTTTATGCAAAGAATAAAATACCTAATAAATTATGATGCACTAAACTAGTCGAGAGATTTAAAAGAAAAACTTAAAAAAAAATATATGAAATGTAGAGATATTGATAGTTTTTATACAACGAAACAAAGTGACAGAAGCCAAGGGTGCAAAATTATTCGAATTTTCGGAATATAGCGAGTTATAGAGCAAGGCGATACAAGAGAGTGAGAGAAAAAGTGTTCGAGGGATGTACAGGCGCACGTTAGTACACCGTATAAATATCGCTATCACTTTATACATACCGCACGTGTAAGAAAGTAAATGGCGAGCCATGTAAATAGAGAGCCGGGAGGAAAAGTTCCACCCGTGTGTAGTATAGTTGTACTATAACGATATCGTTACCGAGATCTTTTCCCGTGCGTTGTGCGTGCAAGAACGAGAGAGAACAGAAATAAAATTTAATATATACACAAAAAACTATATATAGAGAGAAAGACAGAGAGAGAGACACGAAAAAAGAAACTATAAAAATACGATAAAAATATAATTTTTAAATTATTTGTAACGGCAGGCGCGCGCGTCGCAATCACGGCAAACGCGATAAAGATAGGAAAAGGAGGAGAATTCATTATATCTTTTCCCCTTTTCAGAGCGAGAGGATCGAAGAATGAGTTGAGCAGGACGAAGGTGAGAAGAAAATTCCTTGCGGGAGTCCTCTCGCAAGCCTTTCTCTCGCTCCTCGAAATAGTGCACGCTCTCTTTTTAGACGCGCCTAGACGCGAATACCTCAACACAAAGAAATAATCACTCTGTTGTAAATATAATTTTATATATAGGAGCGCCGGGAGAGATTAGGGTAGTTTGCGCGATCGACACAGCGGGGCCGGCCCAAGACATTAAAACTACGAGACTCAAAATGATACTATCACGAAAAGGATAGATTTATAATTGTCATTCGACGAAAGCAATTCCTACTTAATCTCATTATAAAGTTAAATAAAAACGAATAAATCTTGAAGAAATTTTAAGAAAATAATTGCATTGCATCAAACCATGTAACTCGTTCAAATTTTCATAATACAAATTAAAATCTCTAATATTATCATTAATTATTCATCAATAATTTGATCACAAATGTGTACTTAATAAAATCAAAATTATCCCCTCCCCCCAAAAAATTACATATAAAATATTTTAATCAGAATGTCCGGCTCTGTGGTGCAGCCCCCCAAAATAATATCTCGTTAATGCTAATAATAATTCACTCGTGTGAATCGAAATCAAGCGAGGCAACAATCGCCTATGTTTTTATATGAGAAAATCGATTTGCGCGAGTTTACATTGCACGACAAAGAAATTTGTTAATCGCGCAACATTACCAGTAAAGTTACGCCAATGTGACGCTCTCGAAAGTCATGCTGTCGATTATTCTCTTAAATTCTAAATATAGCAATAATGTAGAATTCTCGCTCCTTCAAATCAATTTTTATCATTATATTATACGTTTGACTGAATTGCGCAAATATCTACGCCTTATCTTCATCAGTCTAAGAATTATCAGTTTGTTGCTGATTATTTTCTTGCAATGTTTCGCGCGTCTAATGCTCTTAACAAATTAAAGAAAATTTTGTAGACAAGTTAAATTAATCAGGAAAGCATGAAATAGTTGAATAATTCCGTACTGATTTAATTAAGCAAAGAACGTTATTTCTTTCGTCGACTTTCTTGCGACAAACTAGGAGCAGCTTATCAGTAAAATATTATTTAATTTACTACTTAATTAATGAGTAAAGACGATAACGAATCGTACTAAAGCGACTTCGTAAATTGCATTCAAGTTCATTCGGACTCCTTTGAATATGTTACATTATTCTCACGCGCGCCAGGAGCGAAATTTCTGATTGGCTAATTAGCTTCAATTCTGAAATTAAGCTAAGGCAGCTCTCATTGTTCCTCAGGAAGTATATTCTAACCGAATAAAATAAAGTTATAATTGCGAGAGCATGACTGGCTAGAGCGCGAGAGCGAAGAGGAAAGAATGAATATGTACAGTGTGTACTTATCACGAGAGCTATCAAAAAGAAACACTGCATACAATCAAAGAAGGCGCATAACGCAAAAATGTAAGGCGATACGGAGATCGAAGAAGATCCGAAAGAGAATCGTGTAACGAGAGAGAGAAATAGAATTGAGGAAACGAGAGGTAGAATTACACGCTTTCGTATCTTATTACGTCCATGTTGATTAAATGTTTCGCACTGTTGTTTTATTTTATTCTTGTGCATAGCTTGTATGATACGTACGCTGAAAGTCTAAGTTATTATTGTTTTTATTTAAGGGAATGAAGAAGTCTCGATCGATACGGATCTTCGTTACAAAGACCACGATTAATTGTTGCATATCGAATGTAGTGAGCGAGTGAGCGAAGTATGCGCGAGATGGACCATGAATGATCCAAAAGTATATCATGTGTTGTGTGAAAAAAATAAGCCGAATATAGATTATTCATATATTTATTTATTTGATTTGCACACACTTGTGTGCAAAATATTCAACATAAAATATCTCGAATTGAAAATTTCTTGAAATAATATCCGCCTAAAATTGATCGAACGATAAAATCTTATCCATTTATCTAATTCATTCAAATGTCAAAAACGTTACATGAAATTATGAACAATGTATAATTTATTGGAAATTTTGTTATGGCATATGAAATTAAATATACTTTATCTGATAAAGTATATAAATTTGCACGAACTACTGGATCATGCATGGGCCATTTAGTGCGCAATAATATTTCATTTTTGTAAAATCGTTGTCTTTCGTTCACCGTCTCGATACTTTTTATTGTTCCCTCGTGCACGAGGATAGCGAGCTCTTGCAGAGCAAAAACATGAGTGAGAGAGAATTGAAGAAAGAAAAAGAAAAGAAAAGAAACGAAGAAAAAAAAAGAGAAATAAAAAAGATGATGTACGAACGAAAGTTAGAGGTAGAGAGAACGTTTCCTTATACCTTTCAAACGCGTATACGAATCGCGAAATTATTATTATTATTATTATTATTTATTGTTGCGTTCTAAGGGGATGAGAGGCACACTTTCCGCCACCGTCCTTTCTCAGCAGTCCCATACTTCGGTACCGCTATTTCTTAGCGGCGGTTTTAGCGCTATAGGCAGAACAGAGGACACAATAACATAGGCACTAGAGTATCTCCTAGAGAGGAGGTAACAAGTAGCATCTCTTGAAAGTTAGCTCGCACGGGCGTTTCGCTCTTCCGTTGCGCCGAGGATGATCAAAATTGATGCTTTAAATCATGTTCTAAGCGCATATTTAACGCTAACCAAGGCTGCCCGAATTCTATCTCGTGTTGTGGTCTTTCTTGTATCGAAACGGCCTTCAATTTGAAAAAATAAAACACGCAGAATCATACAATTACATTCAGCGCTAAATATGTCTATGAAAAAAGTCTTTTGTCCTTATTCTTACCATAGATTCCAAGCTAAATAGCGCGTAATAGTGTTAAATTTGATTATTTAATTCTCATTTCTTATAGATATATTGAATGTCATCTTCATTAAATCAATGGAAATCAAACTCATTATTGACTGCGATCACATGACGACTAATATCACAGATTGAGAATTATCCTTGCCGCATTGAAAGCGTTAAATGTGCGATTTGTGAACTCGAGCGTTTTATCTCGTTTTGCTCCGATGCAGATTAAGTAAATGTTTGCTTAATCCGATCTAACTTCATCAACGATTCAACTCGAATCACTAGTCGAGGGTTAGCGCGAGCGACTTGATCAACGCGAGACCCTATCGGTGAAGTTTACTCGAATTACAGTAACTTAATCTACATCGATATGCAAATACTAAGCGTTTATTAATACTACTAAGCGTTCCAAGTTCACTGTCGTGGTGGACCGAAGGTCGATCGACTACGAGGAAGATCCTCGAAGAGGAGAATCCTCGCGGAAAATCGACCAGAATCGGCGTCGACGGTACAATTACATTCAGCGCTAAATATGTCTATGAAAAAAGTCTTTTGTCCTTATTCTTACCATAGATTCCAAGCTAAATAGCGCGTAATAGTGTTAAATTTGATTATTTAATTCTCATTTCTTATAGATATATTGAATGTCATCTTCATTAAATCAATGGAAATCAAACTCATTATTGACTGCGATCACATGACGACTAATATCACAGATTGAGAATTATCCTTGCCGCATTGAAAGCGTTAAATGTGCGATTTGTGAACTCGAGCGTTTTATCTCGTTTTGCTCCGATGCAGATTAAGTAAATGTTTGCTTAATCCGATCTAACTTCATCAACGATTCAACTCGAATCACTAGTCGAGGGTTAGCGCGAGCGACTTGATCAACGCGAGACCCTATCGGTGAAGTTTACTCGAATTACAGTAACTTAATCTACATCGATATGCAAATACTAAGCGTTTATTAATACTACTAAGCGTTCCAAGTTCACTGTCGTGGTGGACCGAAGGTCGATCGACTACGAGGAAGATCCTCGAAGAGGAGAATCCTCGCGTAAAATCGACCAGAATCGGCGTCGACGGAATAGCGGGGCACCAGCTCGCAGAACAGGGTAACTAGTTCTAACATCTATCTCTTACGTCTCAGCTAAGGAACAAGAAAAAGCTCTGTCACACTCGTTCACGTCACGGTATCACAACACCGGTGGCCTGGCATTGTTAATCACGAAATGTCGGCCGAGACGGCAATCTCGAGACACTATCACACACCTTCGTACTAATAAACGATTTACTATTCGATTTCATTGCTACGTCTCATTATTTTCACCTGATCATACTGCGAAGAGTTCGTGAAGAGTTCATCTTCTAAGGAAAATCTTCAAAAAATTGATTTCTTATTTATTTCAACTATAAATGTTCTTTTTATTTAACAAGTAAAAATTGCATGGCACTCCCTCTCCTAATAAATATATTTTTCATGATATATATCGTTATTTTTAAAAATGCTGTTCTATCATCATTAATCATTTTATGTATATTATTATCTTTTTGCCTAATTTTTCATATTATTTTTTCAAATATTGAAGATATACGAGATCATAGAATAAAGAATATACTATTTTGTTTATATTTAAAAAAATAAGCATTA